TCCTGGATGCATCTGGGTCTGTTGGTGTTGGAGGGGGAGCACAGATCCCATTCTCACACTTCCCATTTTTTAATTCCATAGGACAGCAATCAAACCTGCCCTGTACTAGTATCAGCACAAGGATTTGAAAATGACTTGGAAAGAAATGCAAGTGGTACCTGAAATGGGTGGTTGCAGTTGACAAGGCACATATGTCTCACATATGAGAAAGATGAAGATAAAATTAACTTAGAATCAATGGAAACGTTGCCTTGGGTTTTTTGGAACCCTCTGTGGTGTGAAAGTTCACTGCGCTGTGACTTGGTAGGGACTGAACACAGTGACAGGACAAGAGGCAATGGGCACAAACCAAAATACAGGAAATTTCATCCCAAGAAAACACTTTTTGGTACTCTGAGAGTGCTCAAACACTGGTACTGGTTGGCCAGAGAAGTGTTGAATCTCCATCACTGGAGATATTCAAAACCCATTGGACATGATCCAGGACAACGTGCTCCAGCTGACCCTGCCTGTGAGGAAGGAGTTGGGCTAGATGATTTCGAAAGGTCCCTTCCCACCTAAACTACTCTGTGACACCAGTCAGAATGGGAAGGGGATCATGCACGGACTCTTAGGGGGCCTAGGGAGCATCTCTAGGACAACAGACACACCAAGAGGCACCACCGCAGGGAGAAAACGCCATCAGAAGGCAATTTGACACTCTGGGCTGCGTAAGCAAGCAAGCAACGCAAGCACCAAGCTGGGGAGCATAAACTCATCGACGTCAAAAGCCAGCCTGCTCTACGCAACCCCTTACTGGGGTGCCAGGTAGCCAAGAGCACCCGCCCAGCTCCTCACCCTGGGTAGCTCTGGTCTGTCTCAACTCACACTGGCACAGCGGGTGGGCGAGAAGCCACCTGCACCAGCTTTGTCTGGGCTCTGTGACCTCACCTTTTGCCACCTTCGTTCTGTGGGGAGATCCTGGAAGCCGCCGCGTGCTCCTGCTGCTGCAGGTACGCCTCGCTGGGCGTGCGGCGCAGGTCGAGCACGGGGCAGGCGGCCCCGGGGAAGGAGTACACCGGGGTCTGGATGTGGGAGTTGAGCTGCTGTGGGTGATGGCGCGTGTAGTCCTGTGTGATGACCTCCTAGAAGGAGAAATAGTGGAGTGAGAAATGGAGTTGCTTTCTACCTCTTGCTTTGCTGGGCTCAAGTAAGACAGGGCAAGCAGGAGGGAATTGGGCTGGTTTGTGCCTGTGGGGATGCAATTTCTACCCCCTGCCCGCAGCAGCTCTCGTGATGGGCTTGCTGGGGATGGCAAACACCGGGGCTGAACATGCCTGAAGCACCCTGCTCTC